ATCTGCCTCACAGCATTGTGGGGGCCAGATTAATTCCAGCCCATAAAATGCAGTAGCAAAAAATGGGGTGGGGTGGGGTGGGGTGGGGTGGGGGAGCTACGCACGTGAATCCTCACGTCAGGGCGAAACCAAGAAGGAGCGGGGCACCTTATGGATTCTTCAAACAACAACTGGATTTAACTCTCTTTAAATTAACGCGTTGCTCGCATGGAAGGAAAATACCCCCATCCTTTTATCCAAAATAACTGCTAGGTGAAGATCCTCAGAAATATTTTCCATATTAAATGGCAGTAGTTTAAAGATCTTAATGCTGGCATAGATTGGATTTTTAAAATGTAGCCTAATCAATTCAGACCTTCCTGGGCCCATGAAAGAACCAAACCTGTTCAAGAAATTTTCCACGTCTATGCAATATTTGAGATCAGGTTTTCCATATTTCACTGAAACGGCTCCAAGGGTGATTCCCCCCCCCCCCGAAGATGACTATTCATGTTTTAACCTACCTTTTACAATTTTACCCATGCCATCATGAAAATTCTTATTAAAATCTTATTTCCTTAGCACACAATCAGTAGGTGTTTTCTAGGTTTTAGCCATGGAATAAATAGAAAAACCATTCATTCATATTAAGAGAAGATGAGACACAATGGCCTCCCCCAGTAAGGAGTTCCCTGCAATACTTCTCGGCAGCCAGAGAGCCCCACAAAAGGGCCTCCCCCCGGCTAAGCCAGCATTGGCTTGGCTGTCCGGTCACTCCCCTCTCTTCTCCCCTAGCAGCGGGACTGGGGACGGGGCTCTTCTTGTGGGGGGGATTTCTCTGCCTTCTTGTCCCCTTCTGCCAGGCATTGCCTGCTCGCAGGAAAGCCAGTCCTGCAACCACTTTCCCTAACGGGGGGGCGGGGGGCAGGCTGTGCTTGCAATGGTGTAGTTGACCACTTCTCCAGTTGCAGGCCCTGCTGCCATGACCCGTCCATCAGACTATTTCTGAACGTGCTGGCGATGGTCTTCTGAAAGGGTGCAGGGCCCTGGCTCTGTGAGCGGCCTGGCCAACAGGCCACAGGGGCAGACGAGGGGGCAGGCGAGGCAAGAAGGAACCATGGGCAATGATGATGATGACCCTCCGCTGTGGCTGCAAGGGAGTGGTGCTGCTGGCCCTTGGAAGTAGCCCGTGGAGTAGGCGAAATGGCACTGCCCTCCAGAATGATGAAAACAGAGGAAAGCACAGCCAGGTGAAACACCTGGGGGCCGAAGCAGTGGAAGAGCAGAAAAGCAGCTACTTGGCTGCAAGATGGAGGCTCTTCATAGAGTTCATCTGGTTAACAGGTTATCCAGCAATCCCAGCATATATGGCATTGCTCCACTGGCAGAGCCCTCCTCTACCACAAAGGGGGTGGGGTGGGGCTCACGTCGGATAAGATAAAGGAAGCCATTCCTCTGTTTCACTGCCCCTCCACTGAGCATCACCAACCAGCAGGAAAGCCAGCCCCCTTGGGCGATGGGCGGGGGTAGGAAGGTCCCTGGGTGGGGAGCTGATGCAGATGCTCCCTCACCGTGACCCTCTCTGGGGCCACTTCTGAGCAGGAACTGGGCTCTTTTGAAACCGGGCTAAGTGCAGCTGCAGCAGGGAAGCGCCGGGTCGCTCCTTGTCCCTTCACGCCATGCCTCTCCCCCATGCCCATCACCGGCCAGTTAGGCTAAACGTTGCAGGGGAGGGACGTGGATGAAGCAGGACAGTGGGACTGACAAGGCGCTGAAAGGAATGGCGGAGGGTGGCCAGGGCCAGCGGCCCCTGGAAATGGCCTGCTGGGCAAGGCGGGTTGGTCTCATCCCTTCCCAGGGTAGTAAACACATTTCAAGGATGTTCATGTGAAGCCTCTTGCGGCTGAAGCAGCAGAAAACCTGTCATGGTGCCAGAATCAACAGAACCTGGTTCTCTTTCTCCTTTGACACCGAACTTCTTCCAAGCACAAGGCCAGCTCTCTTTCCAAAGAATACTCGACTGAGTTTTGTTAGAAACCTGCGTGAGACCTGACAAAGGAGCTTCCGAAAGCAGCAGCGAGACCTCCTGAGGCGGATTCCTCAGCAGGAGCCGGGGGTCTGGTGTCTTCCGCAGCCCAAGACAAAATGGCCCGGTGCCTGGAGGGGAGGGGGCCCTGTGCACCTAAAGCGGCTGCTAAGAACTGGGCTGACCCCAACTTCTGACGAAGCAGGCCAGGCTGTGTCCGCAGCCAAAGTGTTGGACAGGAGGAAAAACATTACTTTAAAACGGAACCTGCCACCTCACGTATGGGCTGGGGAGCAGACCGAGGCCGTGTCGTGAGGACAGGGAAGGAAAAGGGCTGGCCAGGCAGGTCTGTGCCGTGGCCAGGCTCAGGAGAGCTGCTTCTCTGCAGGGATGGACATCCGTGGATTCAGATTTGCAGAGTGACCTGCAGTCCCAGGCAATCCAGGGTTACCTGATACCCA